AACCCTACCTAATACTTCTCAGTATTCCTCAAGAATTTGCAATCAACATGTTGTAGAGTATCTGCAAACTCATATTCACTGTGACAGAGTTCCCAACAGCTAAACACTTACATCAACCAATTACAATTACAACCAATTAACCAGTCTCTCTCTCTCTCTCTCTCTCTCTCTCTCTCTCTCTCTCTCTCTCTCTCTCTCGTGTGTGTGTGTGTGTGTGTGTGTGTGTGTGTGTGTGTGTGTGTTGCCCATCGAGGTCAGAATAGGGCAATGGATGCCCTACACCTGGAGATAGGATGGTTCTGGGACATCATGTGAATGCTGGGAATTGAACCTGTGTCTTCCGCTAGAGCAACAAGTGTTTTAAACCACTCAGCCATCTCTCTGGCTCATTATTCAGACATTAAGAAGATGATGAAATTCTATCATTTGTAATGATACAGGTGAAACTGAGACATGACTCTAAGCCAAATAAGCTATGGATAGTAAAAAAAAAAATAGTGCTTGATCTCACTCTGTATAAAATCTAAAATAACAGAACTTGTACAAGTAGAGACAAGATTAATGGTTAATGGAGGCTGGACAGACTACAATGGGGAGCTGTTGATCAAAGAATACAGAATTTCAAATAGGGGGTTGAATATCTTTTGGAGATCTACTGCACAATATGTTAATAATACATTGTGCATTTCAGAACTTCTGTCAAATTTATGTTCTTACTATAAAAATGTAAAGTATTTGAGTTTATGGATATATCAATTGGTTTGATTTAATCAATCTACATTGTATACATACAACACCACTCAAAGCCTGAAAATATATGATTGATGTAAAAATTAAAAGCTGTCATTTGAGATGGAAATTAGCTTTCTGAATATGCAAATTTTTATTGTGGGGGTGGGCGGTAAGCACAGAGAGACAAAAGGAATTCTATTTCTTCATTTCTTCCCTTCTCTAGGGAACACATCAGCTACTTGGGTGAGATTGTATGAAATTCTGTAGATAGCTCTTCATGATGGTTTGCAGTAAACAACATTCTAAGCACACTGTGGGGAAGCAGGACACATCTGGGTCAAATGAAAACTTTCTGTCTCTCCTGTAGAGAGCAAACTACAAAGAAGATCTCAGCTGGGTTGTCACAACATGGTTTCCTCCTTTCATATTGCAGTGAACCTAGGATGTCCCTCTCCTTGGCATTAAGTGACAGAGTTGGGCCAAATGAGCTGGGGCATCTTGTGAGAAGGGGGACTTAAAGGCCCTCTGGAAAGCTTTTCATGGGACTCTGACCTCAAGTGTTTAAGCTGCAAGGATTCTCTATCTGCTACATGACACTAAACTTGATTGTTATGGTGTCTTAGTGATCTTTCCTTTATTGTTCTGCAGAGGCCTATCATAGATTTAATTAGGAGTGATTAAACATTGAGAGACAATTCAGTGAATCTTTTTTTTCTTCTACAAATTAGAATTTATGACCTAGCAACATATATTAGTCTTGATTAATTAATTCTCAGGAAATAAGACTACTAGGCAATTAAAACTCAAGATTATATGTCGAGAAGCTCATTTTCTGGACAGGATCTTGCTCTGCAGCTGAGGCTGAGTTTGAAAGCTCCATCTTCCTATCCCAGTGCATAGAGTGCTGAAATTATGGGTGAACATTACCATCTCTTGGTCAGAAGTAAGAAGTCTTGACTGTAATCATTTCAAGGAGGTTAAGTTGTTTGCAAACCATCTGATAGAAAACCATGTATTGTAGCTGTAGGAGAAAATGTCATTTCTGCCTTAAAGGATAAGCTACATCATGTAGAATATCATCCAGATTCTGCAAATAGATGTCATTTAGCTGTGGTTGTGTGCTTTACAGGTCTCTCCCACAATGCTTCAGGCCAACTTCTCCTGAAAAATATGGGAAATGAATCCATTGCTTCATTTCTGTCAAGGTAAAATATATATGTTGCTTAAAAATGTGTATTAGTTACTTTTCTATTACTGTGATAAAACACTGTGAAGAAGGCAACTTCTAGGAGAAAGATTAGGGAATGTGGTTCTAGGCATAGCATCAAGTGGAAAGCATGGCTGCAGGAGCAGAGAGTTGAGGGCTCATATCATTTACTGTAATTACACACACACACACACACACACACACACACACACACACACACACACACACACACACCAGGACATAGCAGAGGGGGGGGATTGGGAATGATGTGAGTCTTTGAATCCTCAAAGCCTGCCCCAGCAATGGACTTTCTCCATGAAGATCATATTACCTAACATCCCCAACAGCATCACCTGCTGGGGACCAGGTGTTCAAATACAGGAGCCTAGGGGACATCCTCACTAAAACCACCATGGAAAGAATGGTGGCATGAGACACAAATAGAGAACAGAAACTCTGTATTCTTTAGGTCCCTGGAAAGTGGTGCTGGGCGACTTGGAAGTTAAATAGGACAATGGAGGAATACCAGCATGTGTTCCTGACCACAAACCAGAGGACCTCCGGTTCTTGTGTCTGGTCTGTGTCCTTCAGGGGTGTCTTACAACTCTGCCTTGCTTATTGGACAGCAATGGCTTGGAGGAACAGAGAAGTTGTGTCTTGATGAGTTGAAGCATCTCCTTTCCCAGGCGCAGAAAATCAATAGAGAGATTTTAGGGGAGCAGAGTAAGCGCTTTTGAAATGGGGAGGGCTGAGAGATACTTCCATAGAGCAGAGAAATCTGAAGCAGTCTGTGTTTAAGGCATTTACTTGGTTTCACTTCATGGGAGTCTGATAATGGGCTCATATTTTGTGTGGGATACCAAGTTACTGACTGGAAATTAAATGACATTGAGTTCACTTGTGCCTTGGTGGACAGAAAATCCTAGGCTCATTTCACATTCTGTCCTAGCATGGATGATGGTGGTTGTCAACTCAGTTACTAACTTTTGATAGAAATGTATTTTTATCGTCTCTCTAAAAATTTGATAATAATGGTTTTCAAAGTTATTTTAAGCCATAGAACCTTCTCCTCAAATTAAATGTAACACATAAACTGAAGACATATATGACTGTATAATTTTTGACATGTATTCTTCCCTTGATTCTGCACTCTTCTTTGTTTTTGTTGTCTACAATAGCTAGGTCCTTATATGTCTCCAGGACAGGTTTGTTTTCCAGTTCCCTAACAGAAACTGGGTGAGACCTGCATCTCCTCATTTATAAAAGCATGTCTTTGTAAGTTACCTGACCCAAGAGGAATTTTACTTTATTTCCCAGAATAAGGTGATATTCTCTCTATTTGGAATAGGAAGGCATTAAGCTGATTTTATTATCTGTTAAGTGTCTGAAAGCAAAGGATCCTGAAGCCAAGGCTGCTTGGAGTTTTAAGTTTATTTAAGTTAATTTAAGCATCTTTTAGTTTGTTTGTTTTGAGACAGAGTCTTTCTTTACAGGTTTGGCTGGCCTTGGACTCAGAGATCTGTCCCACTCTGCCTTCCAATCCTGAATTTAAGAGTGAGAGTACATGGCTGGAAGCTTGGATTTAATTTGCAATGTGAGTCCAGCAAGGGAGACTTTTATTTAACAAAAAGCCACACATTCTGCCTACAGTCTCAGGTCAAGAACTTCCTAAGAATGAGAAGCCCAGGAAATCTTAGGAACCATGGATGCAGCAGTAACTAGGAATGTCTAATATTAGGGGCATTTCTTCACACAAAATTTTTAAAATTTTTCTATTTTTTCCAGCCTCTTTGATTCTGTTTAATTCTGTTTCTGATTTATGCTTCTGAATATGTGCATCTCTTATGATTCTGTATCTGTTATCTTTAAAATGAATACAGCAGTCTGTCTTGGTTGTGTTATTCTCTTCCTATCTCCCTCTCCCCTCTGTAAAAATGATGCTTCTCTGAATACTTTCCCAGTAGAAGCTAACTGACTAGAGTCACTTGCAAACCTCATACACTTCAGTGCTGACGGATGACTAAGTAGAGGTTTCTAGTTCTTTTGCCCTTGTGGATGATAAAAACTGACATAAGCCCAGTGACCAACAGGGAGTCCTATCCTAGAGTCCAGCAGGGACTGAGATGGACATGCTCAGAGGGGCTCCTGCTGTGAGAGACCATGCAGCTGTGGATGCTGAGCACACAGGAGGAACTGAGCTGACTGGGAAGAGCTTCCCTAGGCATGAGCATGTGGGAGGTTGGGTACAGGGTTCTGGAGAGTGACGCTGGGAGCCCTGTCTTCCATGGTCCCAGTGTGATGCCAATTGTGGCCTGGACCTTTGAGAGGTACCACTCTGCCAGAACCTAAGTTGTACTGGAACCACAGGGCTGAGCCCCTAATAGGAGGAACCACACATGGCTTCGGTTGTAGAGGAATAAGCTGTAGGAATGTGCTCAGACTTGCACGTTTGTAAAACACAGAAGCTGATAGACTCATAAGAGCAGTCATGAAGGAGAAGGACATAGAGTTAGGAGGCTGGAGGAAGCTTGGCCCTGTATCCAGAGGAAGAGAGGATCTTGTTCTAGATGTGGTACATCCCTTACTGAAATTGCTGTCACATTAATGGTGAAGCTGTGGGACAGAGATATTGTTTCCAGAAAGGCCCATCTACACTGACCTGGGCTCTGTCAGCCACGTCTCCAGGACCAATGGTTCTTTCCCTCTCCTTTCTTCCATATGACACAGAGGAGGAAAAGTTCACCCTGAGCCTCAGTACAAGAGTCCGACAGCTCAGCTTTAGTCTGTCAGAAGGGCAGGCACTGCAGAGTGGGACCAGTGAAAATGAGCTGGAAATGGCCTTGCCTGAGCTTTGGGGGAGGTGAGTGTATGGTGTCGGGTGAGCAGAGAGCAGAAGTGTGCCACTGGCCTGCCTAGCACAGAGTTGATCCCTGCGGTAGGAACTCAGACTTCTGATTGAGCAAAGAGAACTTTATTGAGTTGTGGCTTCTGTCTCAGGACAATCCTGGACTCAGCTGTAGGGATGATGCTGAGTCAGAGAGGGGTCTGGTTTGCTCTGTGGTTAGCTGCGTTTCATCGTTTCCTTTATCCAGGATAGGAAACTTGACACTCTGGTGAAGACTCTAGGCGCTGAACCATCCTTATGTCCATAGGAGACAATGCCTGCAACCACTTTGTTACAGAGGAGAGGCCCTCCAGAATCCCCCTGAGAATGGAGAGGGGCCAGAGTGGACTGAGCTGTTGTTCACTCTAGTCCAAGCTCCCTCAGAGAAGCACGAATTGTGTGCTCTGCTTGTGGTAGATCAGAGAGCAGGCCTGGGTGTCCCTGGGCTTCCTGCTCTGATTGCGGACAGGGTTACTGCTTCATCTCCCTCCTGAGCCCAGCCTGTGCCCTTTCTCCAGGTCTGTGATACACTCAATATAAAGGTGTGTGGGACCCTCATTGCAGGCCATTGTTTAAGGACATGGGGACAGGTCAGTGGGCCTGATGTGAGCATGGAGGACAAGACCATGGACAAAAGTGAGTTGCTTGATCTGTGGAGACACCTGCTTGTGTTAATGACACAGGCAGGGAGCAGAGCTTTCTAAAGCCTGGGCCTGGATGTCAGGAGATCTGTGCAAATCCTTCTTTTATACCAGCTACCTTCACTGAGACTCCTTGTCAGCTCAGAAGGCTCTAGTTAGTTATTGGTTACTGCTGTTCCCAGGGAGAAAGATCACATAACAGAGTTCTCTTGATGTCTGGTCTCTAGATCCCAGATTGCATTTCCCCTCCCACAGAGCCAGGAGAGAATGAAAATCCAACTTACCTGGAAGGAAGCACGTTTGATCTTTGGGTCCCCCACACATATCTCATTGGCTTTGTTGTAATAACGTCGGTAGTGGAACTCACACAACTGATCCATCTGTACTGTCAGTTCCACCTCTTGGAGTGTGTCTGCATAGTTTCTCTCTGGGGCCATCTTTCCCCAACCAGACACAGAGCACACATCCCCTGGCTTCACACAGACCTTGTGCCAGGGCAACTTCAGGGGTCTCACAGCTTTAGTCATGTTGACCTTAATCTCCAGCTTTTGGGAAGAAGAGAGAGTGGAGCTCATTGCCAGCTCAGCTGAGACACCATGAAGCCAAGGATGGAAGGGAGGGAACGAGAGGGTGAGGGCAGGAGGCATCCCTGGACCAGGATGGGGCAGGTCTCACCTTTAAGAGCATGATGTCACTGGAATCATTTTTATGATCATAGGCAGGGTGAGGAATGGCTTTTTCCACAGGGATGATCTGCTGGGTCTCCTCCTGTGCCTTGATGTTGTGGGCCCCAAGAGTGACTGTCATTGAGCTGTAGAAGAAGATTGGAGATGAGAGATTCTGAGTGAGAGAGGACACAGTCCAGAGGTGTAAAAGGCAGGGTGGACAGAGTGGGGCTCTAGCTGAGGGGACTTGAGACAGGAGGGCCTCAGGGCTTGACCTGCTGCTCTGCTTCTCAAGGACTGAGAGTCCTAGAGGCTTCCTCTTATTTCTAGGCAATATTCTATAGTTTGCACTGACTCCTAATGTGTACTTTCAACTTCAACTTGTAACACAAATCTTAAAAGGTCTTATTAATAAAAAATCCAGAATCAGACATTGAGGTAATGCTGAAAGATCAGAGAGGCAGAGAGCAAGCTACTAGTTCTTATCCCTATGAAATTGTCCACCAAAAAAGAGCAAGTTCCTCTTTCCTAAAGCCTTATATACCTTACTGTGTCCTGCCATATTACTTCCTGGGATTAAAGGCATGTATCCTTCCAAAGCAAAGACAAAGATATCAAATACTGGAAATAAAAATGTGTGCCACCACTGCCTGGCTCTCTTTCCAGTTTGGCCTTGAAATCACAGATCTCTGCCTCTGAAGTAATAGGATTAAGGGTGTGTATCAACACTGTGTGGCCTCTATGTCTAATTTAGTCTCTGGATCTGTCCTCTGATCCGATATGTTATATATTGGGCTACACAATATATCAACACATCAACCACTGTTTTAGTCTGGCCAGGGTAGCTGCTTTCAACTCAAATGTGCTGCTGGCTCTGACCTCTCACCCTTTGACCTCAGTGTCCCTGTTTCCAGAATTCCATTTTCACAGTCCTGCCCTCTAGTGTGCTCACAGGAGCATCCACAAGTAGAGGATGTAAACACCTGTTGCTGTCTCAGAAAACACGGGCCAGCTGCTTCTCCTCACCTTCCTAGGCAGTGAGCAGCTGTCAGCACGAAGTTGTCTCGTACCAGGAAGCCTCCGCAGCGTTTCCCATTCCCCTTGGCATCCACATACTTAATAAATGTCATGTATGGGCGGGAGTGGGGCTTGACCTCATGTCCCCCGATGATCTCCTCTGAAAGAAAAAACTAGAATATGGGGTGTCTGGGAGCAGCAGTTGAGGTCAGGAGGGAAGATCTAGGGAGAGGTGAGGGGTGAAATCTGGAGTCACCCAAAACTGTTGTGGACAGAATTCCTTGCACATAGAATAATTTTTGATTCTAAAGCCACAGAGCCCTTTTCATAGAAGTAATGAGCTGGCAAAGATGGGAACAGCTGGGGACCTGCAGGAAGAAGTGGCGAGGCCACCAAAACAAGACTGCAAAGCTAGTGGAGTGTGCAATGTGGCATCTTGTCACCCAGGTCCTCTTTCTTCAGCAGGCTGAGGGTGGAGGTTACTAAATGATGTTAATATTCTTGAGCCGGTGGTCTTACCCAATTGCAGGCTGGTCATTAAAGCTGCCCTTGCCCTGGGCTCAGGTAAAGTTAATGATGTACTTTTTTTGTATGTTTAGATTCTCTGTAATGTCCCTGTGTAAGAATGATTCATTCTCCAGATGACAAAAAAAGCAGGGAGAAGGTAGTGCCCTCTAAGTCTTCTGAGGTCACCGTCCTGCTTCAGACCATGTTGAGAATCTAGCCAGTGACAGATTTCCTGGTCAGGGTTGGTATGGGACCTGAGGTTCTGAAATCTCTGGTTCAGTTCAGGACAGTTCGTGACTAGAGCTGGGCAGAGAGTCTGCAGAGGTGTTATGGGATGGCAGTGCTGGGACAGGGGTGTTCACTCACCTCCACCAGCTCCAGGCAGCAGAAGAAAGGTCAGGAGAATCAGGACTGGTGGCATCTTCCAGGAATGCTTCTCAGGGTGGAGGAGGGCAGAGTAGACACAGTCCTTGAGGGGATGAAGGAGGTCAGTGCTCAGTGACCTCCCAGACTTTTTAAACCTGTACTCCTCTTTGCTGATTTCCTTCAGGATGTAAGGATGTTTTCTGGTTTGGGACAAAATGACACTGTCACCGCATTGATATCTTATGAGCTAAGGTGGGAGAATGACCAAGAGTGTAAATGGTGTGGAGACTGTGGTCGAGGACGGCATGAGGACCCAGGAAGTCACAGTGACTGCACTAAACAAAAACGTGTCCTTTCTTTTCTCTTACATCCTTTTAATATCTTTGTTTCTTTCTTTCTTTTTTTCTAAAAACAATACTGATAACCAATTAACCCTTAAATAATTAAAATACTGCAAATAGACTCATACACTATTTAGTGAGCATTGATATTGGGCCCTACTTGACTAGGCAGATTTCCATACATCATCTCATTAACCTCTGCAACTTCTGATCACACTGTAGAACCATCTGTTGGAATAGTCTGGTCAACTAATCTTAACTCATTCTGACTCTCCTCGACTGCTAGGGAGTCACAAAGAAATTTCAAAAGCAAGTGTTTGCCTGAGGCCAGTGATCATGTTTTACCATCACACGTAGTTAAGTATAGTAAACAATTCACAATGCCCTGTATAGGTTACCTGTTGATTATGTATTGGCATTTGTCTCTAAGCAAGAGCTTCAGGATTGAATTTAATGCTTAGTAATATTAGATCAGCACTGACTTCTCTGCTGAAGATTCCTCTGGCATTTTCTACAGTGTAGCCTAGGATCTTCCATAGATAAACAAGGAACCTGGTAAGATCTTGAGTGATTATTTAGTGGGGTAGATGCAGCAGTGAGAGAGACAGGAATCCAGCCCTGGAAAAGGCTGATATTGACTGGAGTGAGCTGAGGATCTGAGCTTAGAGCACAAGATGGTTAGAGTTGTGTGAGACCAGCTCTGGGAGGTGAGACAGGCTGGCCTTGCCCTATGAATAGGTGTATGTGTCACATCCAGATAACCACGGAGCAACCCAGGTCCTTCTTTACCACCAACAGCTTATGTTTGCAGATATTTTTGAATTTCCTCCTTTCACACTTTGTGACCAAGAGAGACTTTCTTATCCTAGTTGTGAACTGGAGTCCTGATATTAATTGGATCAGAATTAATCATCCTGTCCATGGGTTATAACCTTTTGGCTTTTCTGGGCCACAGTGAAGGGACAACTGTTTTTGTGCTACAGGTTATTCATCCAACTATAAGGAAAGTTGATCTGCACACCCAGAGAAGCAACAAAACTCTCACAGAATATAATAATCTCAATTATATTGTGACCATTCAGAGGTAATCTATTAAAACCATAGAGCAGGATCCAGTTTTGTGATACCTAATAAAGGAATTGAACACATGTTAGTATAAATTTCATTTTGATATGCTCTTATCATAAAAGTAAAGGAGGACAGCTTGCATCTGGTGGAATAGTTGGCATTGCTTATGAGAAACAATTCTTTCACTTCCTGGCTTACTGGACATAGCTCTGATCTCAATAAATATCTATGTTGTGGATGAGATATTTTGTTTCTAACTTTACTGTTAGTGTGCTTAACACTTTAAATTAAAACAAAATTTAAAGACTATTATATCATCCTGTCCATTATTCCTCTAACTCTATGTCCCTCCATCCCTTTCAGATCTCTTATTGTTTGCTCATCATTCTGTCTCTTTCTCACACACAAAGAAGGGGATAAAATTATAAATCCAGCCTACCAAGTCAGTTTAGTATTGCTTGCATGCATGTTTCTTTTAGGTCTGACCACTTGGGATCAGATAACCATTAAGGGGGCTCATCTTTGGAGAAGACTCATTCTCCCCATCGAAGCAGTTTATAAATGCCTGTTCCTCTTCATCTTGGGATGGGGCCTCTTACTCTTCTCCCTCACTTTGGAAGGTCAACTGCTGCTGTCATCAATGTTCTGGTCTTGTTTAAGCAGCCATATTGTTGAGATTTCATGGGTGTAGTTTTTTTTTATATCTAAAAGGCATTCCTCTAAAAGATTTTTAACTCTTGATTATGTGTATGTGTCTGTGTTTCTGTATGAGTCTGTAGGTGAGTGCAGTTGCTCTTGGAGGCCAGAGGAGCTGTAATTACATGTGGGTATGAGCTATTTAACATGGGTGCTCAGAATTAAACATATGTGCTCTGCAAGAGCAGTGTGTTCTCTTAAGACCTCTGAGCCATCTCTCCAGTCCTGTATGATCAAATCCTCAAAGTGTTTGTTCAGTGTACAGGCTGTGAAAAATGATGGTGTGAATACTGTGTGATTGTGGTGCTACCATCCCTCTCTGAGAAACTGTAAACTATCTTTAAAGGTCATGAAAGGACATGATCAAAAATATTTTACAGGGTGCTGGAGAGATGGTTCAGTGGTTAAGAGCACTGTCTGTTCTTCAGATGACCCAGGTTCAATTCCCAGTACCCATAACAGCTCGCTACGTTCTGTAACTCCAGTTCCAGAGGAATTTGACACCCTCACACAGACATACATACAGGCAAAACACCAATTAACATAAAATAAAAATATATAAATAATTTATTAAAAATATTCTTGGGTTGAATGGAGGATTGCAGTTCTAGGCATTCTACTGTAAAATCAGTAGGTAACATATAAATGCTGACTAAAATGGACCTGGGATTATACCATAATAGTGACATTTTCCTGAAAATCTTGAACTCTGTTTTCAACTTCTCATGTCTAATGTAAAAGAAGGTGACATCCCTGTTCACAAAGCTGTCTTCAAATATGTTGAAATGCATGCAATTATTTGCCTTCATTTGAGCTCCCCCTTAACCCACCTTCACCTGGAGCACTTATGATGTGAAACATGGTGTTGACAAGTTGGTTTTCACCTTAAAGATGAAAGGAGTGGTCAAATGCACTAAAAGGTTCAATCTGTAAGTCAGTTTTCATTGTCAAGTCTGGCACAAATGTTGTTTATGACACCGGAAATATGTTGGTCATCTTACTTCTGAAATGTAAATGATGTCACCATATTCGGCATCAACACTCTTTAGGGATTCCTGGCAGTGAAGATGATTTAATCCCTTGGCCATTTCCAAATTCCATCCTGATGATGTTACCCTTGTAAAATGCTTTTGCGTTCAATTTCCTGTTAAAGCTTAGTTTTTATTCTTTGACAATTTCATACATGTATTCAATGTATTTTGGTCACTTTTACCCCCGATTGTCCCCTGTCATGCCCCTCTAATTTCATCGAGACCTTCTTCTCTGTGCATATATTTTCTTGATGTTTCCTGCAAATACACGTCTTTCTGTTTTGTTTTAAGATTAGTTTGTTTATTATGTACACATTGTTCTGCCGGCATGTATGCCTACAGTCCAGAAGAGGGCACCATATCTCATTACAGAAGGTAGGGAGTCACCCTGTGGTTGCTGGTAATTGAACTCAGGATTCTTGGAAGAGCAGACAGTGCTCTTAACTGCTGAGCCATCTTCCTAGCCTGAAAACGCACATCTCTCAGAATGAGTTTAGTGCCATGAATGCATTGTCTTCTATGAATTATATGAATCCCCCTATTTTTATTCCCCTTTTCCCCCCAGACAGTGTTTCTCTGTGTGGTCCTGGCTGTCCTAGAATTTGCTCTGTTGACCAGGCTGTCCTTGAACTCATAAAGATCCTCTGGCCTCTGCTCCCCAGTGCTGAGATTAAAAGTGTATGCCACCACCATCAGCTTCTTCTCCTTTTTGAATTCTGTTTTCTTCTATGATAGTATAGAAACCTTGCTGTGATTAAAAATAATAACAGATAAGGAACTATATTTATTTTGTGTGAAAATTGACAAGAAAATAGAAAGCAAGGCTTGAGTATTTCAACATCTCAGCTGCTGATGTAACAGCAGTGTGATGTGACAGCTGATATTAAAGCATGGTGACTTGGTGTGAGTCATGGCTGAGCTGTGTGCTCTTAATGATCAAAGAGGAATGCTTCCCTATTTTCCAAATGCCATTAGACACCCATTGACTGCAATGGAAGGTTAAAACAACATTGATAATCTCTGCATTTCATTAATAAGACACCAGGAGCACAGACAGATCGGAGGGTGTCACATGGACGCTCTGGAGTTGGAGCATTAAACACGGGAAGCCTCACACTACCATCAAACTGATGTCATGCATGTTTATCAATAGAGTTCACATTTATTCCTTTTGCATGAGAATACAACGTGTTGTCATCTACAAACTTGATGCTCAAGCTTCACACGATATAATTACTAAACAGTCACACACACCAAAATCTCCTAATGTTTTCACTGAGCTTATGATTTTATGTTGGGCTGCATGTATAGCAATTTTGGGCCACATGCACCTCAGAGGCCCCCAAATGGTCACCCTGAACTAGTCTACAAAATAGAGTGGCTTCTTTCATTTTCTTCTATTCTGTTTTTGAAAAATTTAATTGAAAATAAAATATTTTTCATATAATATATTCTGATCATAGCTTTCTCCCCCAATCTCCTCCACGATACACTCACGAACTCTATCATTAAGAAAACCTTGTAAATAAAACCACACACCAAAATTAACCAGACCCAAAGTTGATACTACTTAATGAACTTCTTTACAGTTAGAATTGGCATTCAGAATGGAAGTTGTGAAGCTTCACATTCAATTTTACACTTTTAGTAGAAAATACATTTTATGTGCTTATCTATCCACCGCCAAGACAAAAAAATCCATGACAGAATTAGAACTCAAAAAATTGTTTAATACACTTTCATAACTCACTTTAATCACCTGTGCTCATGCTTCCTCAGTCCCTTATACTGTACACATGTGCATTTGTTAACATTTATGCTATACTATGGACTATATTTTATACATGAGGGAGAACACAGGGTTTCTTTCTCTCTGAAGTTTCAAGACATTACAAAAGGAAATCACAGAATATACTAGT